CTCTCCCCTGGCCAGCCCTCCCCCCCAAAATCTCCCCTGGCTAGCCCTGCCTTGCGATCTCCCCCAGCCAGCTTCACTGCCCCTGCCAACTGGTTCCCCTCCCTATCTCCCCCGCGCACCTCCACTGCCCCAACCCTGCTTCCCTGTGGCCCATATTCAACCCCTCCTCCCCCCCTCCACAGCCAGCAATAAGAGCTCACCTGGTAACCCTCCCTATGCCTCTGCTGGGAGCCTGAAACATACAGCTGCATCCCCTCAGCCCAGGTGAGGTCTTGGGAAACCCAGAGCTGCATGGACAGTCTGAGAGCCCGGAACACCCGGCCCAGTATTTTTTTCCCGCGGCCCGGTACCGGGCTGTGGCCCATAGTTTGGGAAATGCTGTTTTATAATATAAATGTCAACTAAAGAATAAAAGAATAATACAAAATCTTATGTGAAACCTAAGGTATTTATAAACTGTGATTGTCTTACTTTCCTACTATTTTCTGACATCATCAGTAGTAGACAGGTCAGATGTACAAAAGACCTACAAATTTTACCATCTGTATAAACAAACTACCATGTTAGGTAAGTAATTCATTGTGAACAAGATAATTTTCTGCTTCATGTCTTTGTTGCAAAATGTAGACAATCAAAAATTAATAAATATATAGTCTCATTTAGTTGATTTCTGAGCCAAATTCTGCTCTGTTATACTGATGTAAATATGGAATGAATACTTTGACATCTGAATTTAGCTCTTTAGCTTCATCAGAAAATATGGGGAAATGTCTCAAACAAATTTATTTCATATATTATTTAAGACCTCGATCTCGATCAAGGGACAGTGGTGATGAAAATGAACCAATTCAGGAACGATTCTTCCGACCCCATTTCCTGCAGGCACCTGGAGATCTGATTGTTCAAGAAGGAAAACTCTGCAGAATGGACTGCAAGGCAAGTATTAAATTAAATTGGTGTTTATGTTGAACTAGAAAGAACTCTATTCACATTCAGCTGAATCCTGTAATACTTGTACACCTGGAATTCTAGGTACAGAAAGGAGGCAGACTTGGTCTTTTGCCAAGCTTCCAGTTGAGAATAAAGACTGCTTGAAGCATTTTTCAGTGAGACTTTGACAAAATTTCAAACAATTGAGTTTGTATTATTGATTTACCCAAAAGTCGAATTCAAGTCACAGCATTTCCTACAGCCCACAGATAGCCTTTGAGGTCCATGGATTAAATGTACTTCAGCTGATTGGAAAGAAGGCAAGTCCAGTTAGTGATATTGGGTAATGCCACCTTGTTGTAGTCATGGCTCCTTCCTGGTCAGTAGGTACAACTAAATCCACTCCTACGATGAGTAGCCATTGAGATCTTTGGTGAGAGAGAAGGGCAGCTCACTAATATGAATGAATACTCTTCTCCCCACTGTATTGCAGAAGTGAGTAAGCACACACTGAGGCTACGTCTACATTGGCAAGATTTTGCGCAAATATTTTTAACACAAGAGTTTTTGCGTTAAAGTATTTGCGAAAGAGTGCATCTACGGCTGGCATGTGCTTTCTTGCAAAAGCATCTGTGCCAGTGTAGATGCTCTCCTGCACAAGAAAGCTCCGAAGGCCATTTTAGCCATCGGGCTTTCTTGCACAAGAAATTCATGTTGCCCGTCTATACTGGCCTCTTGCGCAAGAGAGCTTATTCCTGAGTGGGAGCGTCATAGTTCTTGCACAAGAAGCACTGATTTCTTACATTAGAACGTCAGTGTTCTTGTGCAAGAACTCGCGGCCAGTGTAGACAGGAGGCCACTTTTGCGCAAAATCTTGCCAATGTAGACGTAGCTTGAGAGAAAGATGTTTCAATCTGTGCTCCCTCTGCAGTAACAGACTCAAAAGTTGTAGATCATACATCAGCCATGACTAAATTTGTGAAATCTGACAGACTGGGCAACTAGAAATAACACACTGCTCCAAGGGAAATTCTTCACGTAGTCCCTTTTCTATAACAAATATCACCCTAACCCAGCGTTTCCCGGAAGTGCCGGTGAGTTACAGAGCCGGGAGCCCTGCTCCACCGATATGTGGAGCTGGGTGTCTCCCCCGGCTCTGCCTGGCTCGGGTGCGGGTCCCCCGCGCATCCTCCCACCCCACCCCCAGAGCGTCCCTGCTGTGCACAGCTCCTCCTCACCGCCTGCTGCTGCCCATGTGCGGCGTTGCACATGGGCGGGGAGGACGCCCAGGCATGGCGTGACGTCACGGCCCGGGATTTTAAAAGTCTTTGGAGGCACATGACGGGGCCACGCTGGCTCTGGCGGCCTCCGGCCCCGCAATGTGGAAGGCAGAGGGTGGGGAACTGGCTTGGGCGAAGGCGAGAAGGCGGCAGCGGGGGGCTTGCGCGGAGGGGGAGGCACCAAGGGACAGGGTGCAGGAGAGAGAGACAAATGCCAGGGGGCCACATGCAGACAATGAGGGAAAGGGTAGGAGGGGAGGTGTCAGTGGGAGGGGTGACAGGGTGATGCTGGGAGAGGAGAGGGGAAGGGCATTGGGGGCTGGAGGAGGTGGTGCTGGGAGAAGGCTTGAAAGAAGGGATGGGCATGAGAGAGGAGGGGATGGAGCAAGTCATGTGTGAGGGCAAAGAGGGGGTAGGAGGAGATGGGGAAGAGAGTACTGAGGGGGTGGGTATCAGGGAAAGTCAGTGGGAGGGGTGACAGGGTGATGCTGGGAGAGGAGAGGGGAAGGGCATTGGGGGCTGGAGGAGGTGGTGCTGGGAGAAGGCTTGAAAGAAGGGATGGGCATGAGAGAGGAGGGGATGGAGCAAGTCATGTGTGAGGGCAAAGAGGGGGTAGGAGGAGATGGGGAAGAGAGTACTGAGGGGGTGGGTATCAGGGAAAG